AATCGACAAATGGAAAAAGTTTTTTGTTTTTTCTTGCCAAAAGACCAGAAAAAGACAAGCACAAATTTCAAACGTATGGCGACAAAGGAATTAATTAATGGGTGATCAACTAATAATAGCAATGAGGTTGTTTGGGGCATTTTAATGACATCTCGAGGTCAATTACTATCGTTGGGTTTTTAAACTGTCGCCACGGCGTTGCAGGGCTGCAATGCGCACATGCGCTGATCACAGGTGCCCTTCACACCTTCCTTTGGGGTAAAAAAAGTCAATAATTTTTGAATTAAAAAGAATAAATTTATTTTGAAAGCTTTTACTTAAATACTTAAATAGGACATCTGAAAAAAATTTTTTGATGCAGACTTGTCATAAAAGATTTATTCCCTAACATTAAATTAATATTGATTGTTAGAATAATGATTAGTAACTTTTAACATTTTTAATGATAGAAAAAAAACTGTCATGGTTTTAAATTTTGCATCCAAACTATACTTTTAAGTGAAAACTTTTAAAATAAATTTATATTTTAATCTATAATTTTATTTTGAAAAGATGGTTAGACATTATAGAAACATTAATGGAAGCTAATTCCTTTCATAGTGCTCCTTTCAATTCTTTTCAATTACAAATAATTAAATTCAGTGGATTAAAAACTTGTATTAAAATTTGTTAAATGTAATAAATATCTTTAAAATGTATTTTAAATAATACAAAACTTACGCAAATTCACTCATAGATTTAGGAGTTCTAAGTTGCAAGTCTAGAAATTTGACTTATAAGTTTATATGTAAAATTTGAATAAAGGGTACCAATAAGCCTTGGTTTTAATGGTAGGATTAAACATAAGCTCTTGAATTTGAATCTGTCTAAAGGGGTGTTTGGAAGTACTAAAAAGTGCTTCTCAAAATCACTTTTCCTCAAAACAAGGCAAACTCCTCTATATATTTGCCTCGTATACCGTAAAAACATTTTTAAAATCATGGTTTGGTTTTCATCCAAACACCTCCTAAATACAGAAAATGCCTATAAAGAGCCTTTCCCAATTAAACATGATTTGGCTCAAATTTAATCCAATTAAATAGGCGTATCAAAAAAATTGAACAAGGGGTAGTTTTGTTTCTTGCATGTGTAAAAAATGATACTCCTCCGGTCCTAATTATAAGACCCAATTGACTTATTTGAGGAGATTAAGGAAGTAAGTTAAGTTGGTTATTTATAATAAATAAGTGTTGTCATTCCTAAAATATCCTTGCTAATTAAGTATACTGGCTAAAACTATCATTATTAGAAGGATTATCTTGGAAAAAATGCATAAATATAAGAGATAAAATGGATTGGGTCTTATAATTAGGACCAAATAAAAAGTCAAATTGGGTCTTATAATAAGGACCGGAGGAGTACTCAAATGCCGTATGACCTGTCTCATTAGATTTGCATGGCTGAATTGTAAATATGTCTATCGTGTGACCTATTTATAACTTCCTTTTTTTTTAAAAAAATTATTAGGTACAGATATATTGATATGAATTCATGAGCGTGATCATAACTCTCCCACTAGTGGCAAATTGGAATGTGCAGAAACTATTTAAAAAAACAAATATTTATAGATATCCAACCACATTTCAGTAGCCAATCCTCCTCATCAAAATTTAGATTTGATTGGATGAAATGAAAATGGCCAGTATATAATTGCCAGTGTCTGCGTCGGAGCCTGGAGGGATGCCTTTTTTCTCCACAGTAAGTGAAGGACATTTTGGTAATCAACTAACAAAATACTATTTCGGTTTTTTAATATAACAACTAAATAACTAAAAAAAATAATTGAATTAGTTAATCATAATATATATATGTTGGCTTTCCTAAATAATCTTTTTTAATCATATGCATTAAAAATTTCCCCGGATAGAAACTCTTCATAATCAATAAGAATATTTTAGATAAAATATTATAGACTTAAAAAATAAAATAAATTGAGATTTTATATTTATAAATAAATTTAATTTTTAATTAGTTTTTATATTAAAGAAGCGGACTTTAGTTCAGTCCCTACACCTACAGTGAAATTCTCCCAACCGAAAATAAAGTTGAATACAGGACCACCATTTTTGGGCAAGCGGGTCAGTGTCTTTGGGTTGAAGAAATGGGGTCTTCAAGATTCATTGTGGGGCAGAAGAAGCCCACAATGGGCCCAGCCCCATTATAGTGTGGGCCCGTTTTAGTTTAATAGCATTTCTCTTGATAAAGCCCAATCTCTTGACATTATTTTGTTCAATTTTTTTTTAATTTTTAACAGCAGGAAATGGAAAACAGGTTAGAAAGACAAAAACACATTAGTTCTGTGGAGTTTTTGATAATACTATTGGAAATTTGATTGAACTATATGGAATAAGAACTATCATGTTCATTGTAAGAAAATAGAAAATCCATAAAATGGGAGCTTCTTGGTTTTCATAAATAGCCAACATTATTTTTGGATAGAGCTTGGAGCCTTGAACCTTACACATCAAAGCCAAAAAACAAAAGATCGTTTATTTAAACTTGTTTTTAATGAAATAATGCTTTTTATTTTTTTAAAAATTAATTTTTCAAAATTTATGAAAATAATCAGAATGAAAAATAGAAAATATTTTTTTTAAATTATTCCTGGAAACTATTTGAGTAGTTTCTGGAAATAATTAGATGTAGTAAATAAGAAAAAAATTCCGTTAAAATATGAAAATATGTGGAGATATGAAAAATTTAAAACTAACCAATTAATAAAATCATTTTGTCAATAGAAATATACAGACATATCATAAAATTTGAAAATTACTGAATAATAATGATCCCTAATGGTGTGTATAAAGAAAGTCTTGTGACTAATAGTAAAGCCCCTTCAAAAAATATACTCTGCAAAAAGATTAGTCACTGCTAACAGATATCTTGAGTTCAATAAAAAAAATAATGATAATATTTTTTTTAATTATTGTAACAAAATAAACAAAATATTTTTTTTAATAAAACCTTTACAAGGCAAAATATTTTTCATAAAATTTTTATATTTTTTAGGAATTACTAATTTTTTAAGTTTAGACAAAAGGTCCACTAATTTGTAGCTCCCATTCCCTAGCCTCTCATTCTCTCTTTTTTTGGCCGAAGTGCTGTGGTACTCTCACTGTCCCACATTCTCCACCTGTGCGCGAGACAAAGGGAAAAGGGAAATTCTCTTTCCTTAGTGGTGTCGACTGGCATCCAGGAAGTGTTAGGACTCGTTTAGAATATAAGCATTTTTTTTACCCAAAAAAAAAAAATATAAGCATTTTTTTAATCATAATTTACATAATATAAAGTAAGTATATGAAAAGAGTTTTATCTTAACTTATTTAAAATGTATTTATAAGTGATTTCAATCATAATTCTAAATAAAGTCTTAGACGATACAATTCGTCCACTGATCATTCTCATATTATTAATTTTGACACAAATTTTTTTTGCTACTGATAAAAATTGCTTCCTCCTCATCCTAATATAGGAGCCAATTGGGATGTTAGATTTGATACTAGATATAATATTTTAATTTAATTTGTTTCTTATATTTATCATTTTTGTCCAAATTAATTTACTAAACTCATAAATTAGTATATAATCTAATGTTATATAGAGGCATGTGAGAGAGATGATATCTTATTTATCATAATTAACTAATTTATTTAATTTTTTCTATCTTTTTGCCAACTAATTTTTTTTATCTATCTAAATTAACTAAGTAACTTTTATATTAAAATTCAATGGAGTGTATGAATAAATTTGGCTTCACCTAGCTTTTAATGAATTAAATCTGTAACTTTTTTAATTTATAATTATATAGTCAGTTCACAGTTAAATAAGTTTCTCCTTTTTAGTTTGATTTCAACACGAAAAAAATATATAAAAAGGCATTAAATTTAAATCAAATCACGAAATTAAAATATTGATTAAAGTTAGTTAAAAAGATATGTTAAAAATGTAATTTATTTTTCAAAAATGCCATGTCTACGAAGAGAGTAAGTGAGAAATAATGTGCGATAATTAATGCAAGAAAATGTTACTTCACCGAAGGGAGTACCTAGTAGTGGTGAATAACAAAACAAAGATAATTTTGGAAAGTAAAATTTGGAACTTCACCTCCCCTGCCCCGGCATTTATTTCAGGAGGGGTTACATTTTACCAAGTTTCGCACAAATTTTGGAATCTAGATCCTCTCTTTTTCCCCATTGTTTGCACACCCAAAAAGTGGGGAAAAAGATGCATCCATGGACAATTTTTCTTTACCTTCTGTTTCTAAAATCCTTCAAACTACACAATCTAGGCTCTATCTCCCTGAAAAGAGAGGGATCAAAAAGAAGACATCGTAAATACCGTGCGCCTACTTGTATCCATGTCTTAGGTGGTGTGGCTCGTACTATATCAAACACATTGGGTTATTATGAACCTTTTTGGTTAGATCTCCCTTGTTTATCTAAAAGGCAAACTGATATATGCATATATATATATATATATATATATATATATATGAACTTGGGACAAACTATTATTGCTTCTCTACCTGTCTCCTACTTTTGTGTCTTTTGTCATCTATTTCCCTTATTCTACATGGCTTGCCTGTCACCCAAATTCAATTATGGCCACGTGCATGTTAAGTTACATACCACCACCACCATCAACACTAACACCATATTTTATCTGCAAGACCAGAAGGGAAGGTAGATAGGGTCGTTACTTTGAGCTTAAAAAATAACAAATATTTCCCTTATATTTGTATACCCACTTTCTTTTGTGTCTTAAGCACTAGCTAAAAGGATATTCCCTGCGAAGTGAAAAGCCCATGCAAAAAGAAATTGTAATATGACCAGTCAAAATTTTCCATACAAACACTCTGGTATTGCTTCATGCACATATATTCTTTTTGATTGCAGGGTTCCCATAACTGGGTGTAACAGACCAAGAATGAAGGGATATAATTGATAATTATATGCCAAAAGCAAGATTTTGTTCTATAATAATCTAGAAACAGAGCATAAAAGACAAGAGAGGTAGATGATAGAGGAGGGGAGGAGGGGGAGAGAGAGATCAACATAGCCTCAAACAAGAGCACTTTAAAAACCCACTACACAAGCTCAAAAATCTTAGGCGTGACAGGCCTAAGTGGGGTGCATTATCATGATCATCCAGTAAACACCTTCCCCCACCCTACCTTCCCACCTTCCCTTTTTTTCACTATTTTGAAATAGACAAAATTTAAATACAGTTTTTAAATACTGGTTATTAAATTTTTTAATAAAGATATGATAAGTGGAATTTGTTTATAATTCAAAGTCACATAATTAAATGTTTCAAAAGAATTTATCCACATATCATATATTTATTAAAAAACTCAATAACAAACGCCTAAGAAAACTTGACTCAGAACCCCTCCCTTCCTTCCATAACCAATACCTTCATCTCTTAGCTCTTCAAACTTGATTACCATTTTTCTTTTGTATCTTTCTAAGCAAGTCAGCCCCAACATTCATAATCCACAATAATCACATTTAGCCATGTCATCCATCATCCCCCAGAATTTTCAACTAATTCTAACTCCCTATCTACTATCTCTCCCTCCGCTACTTCCGACCGCTGTTGCCGCCATTCTCGTCACTGTTGTCACCCCTTAAATCTTGGGGGTTTTAAGTGCTTCTCCGGCGAGATGTAAACGTTTGAAACACAACACTGCCAGCTGCAGGAAACTGGTCCATTGCACAACTCCGGCATTTCAAACCCAGAGGCTCAACGGCACTTGCCACACGCGTCCATATCTCGTTTTCATAGTCACTGCACGTGGTGGACACAGACATAGTACCTGGTCGGAAAATATGAGCCACCTTCCTTAGTACATGCACTATATCATCGTTGACGGAGCCTACACATTCAAAGCTTGCATAACTGTAACCATCCTCTGGAGTGACATGAATGGTGGAGTACCGATCCCCATCCATGCCATTCATAGAATACCCACAAGGATCAAATGCAAAGTCACAGATAAGTGCTTCAGGGTTGATCTCATTGATGCCTGTGAGCTCCGTCATGTCCTTCCCAGCAGAGTCCCCCGTTTTCCCATCCTCAGGCGGCCGGAAGAACTTGCGAGCGAGGACTGGATCGAGCTCTGTCATACAGATCTCCATGGTGTATGACGATGACGATTCATTGTCACGGAGGTAAGGTAGGTCAGAATCATCACTAGCTGTGAAAACATGCCAACAATGAGAAGAAGATTTGGAAGGCATGATTGAAGCTTTTCTGTAGCAGAGATTTGCGGGGATGGTCTCTTCCAAATACATAACTTCATCTTTGAAGCTAGTATGAGGGAAAGGCTGAGACTTTGGGAAGATGAAGCTGCCTCTGGTGTAGCGGCAAGAGCAGAGGGTGAGGCCTAAGTGATGCTGAGCATAGTAGATCAAGGGACGGATGGATTTGAGCAGTTGAGTGGTCCCACAAGTCTTGATGATGATCTTGGTTGGGTAGACAAAGAGGCTCGATTCTGATAACACATAAGCATCGAAGTAGGAGTTGCCGACCGCTGAAACTACAGTGCATTGAACAGCTTCAAGGACTTGTTGGAGTGATTCAAATTCAAGTTTCCTAAGACCCAGTTGGTGAAAAACTGGATCATCTCCAAAGAAATGGAGCTCCAAGCGCTTCTCAAACCCTTCAAAACCAGAAACAGCCATTGGCTTGAATGCGTAGTGCTATGTGGGAAACGAAGATGTAACAGAGTAAAACAGAGCAAAACGTAGGTTTTAGGAGGTGAAGGGATAAAGATGAGAGAGAAAAGTGTGATTGGAATGTAGAAGAGGAGGTGAGAGAAAAGATTGGGGTCAATGGGATTTATAGGTGTGTGAATAAGAATGAGAGTGAGTGTATAGGAAGTAGGGAGGGTTTAGAAGAGAGCATGCGGGTGACGGAACCAAGAATCATGATTGTAGGCATAATGAAGTGAATAGGATGATGATATACAACAGTTTCTTATGTTTTCTTTCTTTTTTGCTTTTTTTAAATATGAAATCTTCTCTTCCATCAGAGACAGCAATAGGAAACAGAATATATGCCCAAACACATCAATTGCTTGTTCCTTGTCCCTGCCTATTCTATGCATCCAAACTGTTGAGATGTTTGATCACGACTTGTGAATTTACAAAACCAACACTTAATTGAAATCGACTACACACATATCGTTTATCACTAAATTTGCAGTGGTCAAGCAAACACAGCAAGTTTATACTTTACTCTCTTTACCTTTCAAATGGAAAGTCGATTTAAAATCAATACAAAATATTTTTAAAAAAAATTACAACAAGTTACTCTATTAATTACTCATCAATATTATAAATCAATTTATCCATTATATTGTTTGTAATGCATAAGACTCGTATTTATTTTCATGTTGATGGGAACAGACCTATCCCGTGTTGGGGAAAATTAGTCACCAAGTATATCCATGTCCTTGATGGAATATTTTTTTTACAGCAAGAACTTTATACCATCCAATGGTACAAGGATCTTCAATCTTGATTCTTAGTTTTGTCAACTTCCATAAAATATAAATTGTACAATTCTCTTAATAGATATGAAATCTTTATGTGTACATGTATCTATCTAAGATACCATAAATATCCAAAAACCCTATCTTTTCTTTACTTTTTCCCCGTTTATCCAAAGATTTTTAGATTAAGGACAGGGGGCCTATTTTGACTAGAGGACCTGGTTGACCTGTTGCAAGAAGATGACAGACATAATTGTAAGCCATATGGTAAACTTCTTTTCACAATCACAGAGGAAAATAAAATCCAGTATGTTTCCAAGGCATGAGTTACTGAAAGGAATTTGATTTAATCAGTCAAAATTCAAACATTCAACATAACTATCTGAATGATAGTTCAAATAAAGCAGAAACACATTCAACAAAACTATTCGAATGATACTTCAAATAAAGCAGAAACATAATCATAAACCGAGCTAGATGTTGTTCCGCAGGACAACAATTATAAACCAGGGCTAACTGTTGTCAGTTGTGCAAGACAATTATTAGCTTGCTATAGGTAATTAAACCTCTCAATTAGAGCTATATTACCAGCAATAGAGGTTATGAGCAGAGCACAGCATAGTTACTTTGCAATAAAAAAAGAAAAAAAGAATTATAAGTAAAGGATCCAATTGCTTAGGACTGCGTGTAATGTGTGCACCCCTTAATACTGAAATACTGATAATGGCTACTGCATAATGGAAAAGGAGAAAAAACAACTCAGCTGATGGAGACAGCCTTGTCTATTCCAAGGAGAGCAGGTGTTAAACGGACGTGCCCAAAATGCCATCCATTTTTTGAGTTAGAACGATAATTGTTATTATGCAGAAGAATATTTATTAAGAAAAAAACAATACAAAAGGAATCAGGCGTGGCAGAAAAATAATGAGAATATCCATGAATTGGGGGAGGCCCGTACGTGAAATGAAAAGCACTTGCATCATTTTTATTCTTCATGCAATTTCATGTTGCTAGGTGGCATTATCATTATATTTATTTATTTTAGTGGCTTGTTTTCTGTATTTACCAAGGCATGCATGCACTGTTGCTAACCATGTCAGATTTCAAATTTAAAAAAGGATTCTCTTTATCTTCCAAGTGATTAGTCCTCAAAAGTATAGGGGTTAGAAAGTAATCAAAGAACGCTTTATCATTATGTTACCCGGAAGATTTAACTTTTTTAGGTTGATAAGATCTTATGTTATAATACGAATACATATGATTCTAACTGCTAGACAGAGCATATTATATTGTCTTCTTTAACTAAACCCCAGCTCAAACATAACTCTACTCTAATTTGGTCAGCCATCAAGTTGATTTGGATCATAATGTTTAATTTAACAAGGCTAGGTTTATGAGGAAGGGGAACAGTAATTTTGAAGTAAAAGGGAGTAATTAGTGCTTTATCGTCTTTTAGAGGAAGTTTTGGCAGCTGGTCTGCCTACAGCTAAAACGACCTTCTCCATCATGTTTGTAATCTTCTTGGCTTTCAATTTAAGAGTATAGTCAAGATTATATTAATAATTCTACACAATCAACATTGGAGAAGCTTCCCCTTTTTCAATATAGATGAGTGGACGTAATTATTTGAAAAAGAAAGAGCTAGGTAGAAGACTAACCAAATGGTAGAAGGGGGACTGAATAAACTACATTTTGGGGTAGAAAAGATGGGAGAGCAATGATGAAAATTTGTGAGTTCAGAATCAAATTTTGCAGTTTTAAGAGGTAGAAATGATGCAGAATGTATGGCGTCATGAATAAATCTGATGGGTGTGGCTGGCAACCTCCATTATGGCCACAATCCACCTCTTTGTGATGCACGCGCACCACCAAACTCAAACACTATCTCCTAAGCCACACTTTTGCTATCTTACTCTCACACGCAAGCCAACACTAGCATACCAACACAGGCACACACAAACACTCGCACTATTTGCAAATTAAACTCTTTCCCTTTATCTTCCGCACTCATCACAAAGGAAAAATAAAAAATGGTCAACCACTTTGCAGAATCAAATCTCACTTAAAAAGTCTCAAACAACAAACTCTTAACGAAATCCCAATTCTCACCTTTTCACATCAAAAGTATCAAGCCAAAATCTTGCTTTCTTACATTAATTGTTGGGTATTTTGAAGAGATAAAGAAATGGATTTTAGGAATTGAAATCCAAAGCTCTGGTCCCACTAAAAGTGGTCACCTTTCTAAAACCAACAAGCCTGAAAGCCACGTCCTCCTCCTCACTCCGTAGTTTAAATCATAATAATAATGCAACCACAAACCCATGATTGGTCCCACTATGCGCCCCCCGACAACCACCGTGGACGACCCCACAAGAATACACATCATCTAGCATGTGTTCCCAACTTCATGGCACACTAGGACCCATCTTTGTTTGAAAACGTAACTAGATTTGAGGGACATGTTGTCCCCACGCAGCCCTTAGCTGCGAGACAATAGCAATAGTTGGTAAGGAGTGAAGCGGGATTTAGCCGCCATACTTGCTCCCACGCGCATCAATAGTTTGGCACACATGTGCAATTTGGCGTATTTGGGTCAGTAAGGAAAAATTTTTTAGTGTGCACTATGAACACCCCAGGAGTGCTACTGTACCATGCGCACAACCCCAAAAAAGGCAAAATGCTAGGATTGGAGCCCACCATGGCTGCAGCTCTAGTTTGGGAAAAAGGGTTCCTTATCATGTTTTTAATACGAGTTAGTGCTTACAAGCCATCAAGATTTTGGCTTCATTTGATATGTCCTTCTCAAGTTTGTCAGAGTCAGAAGTGCCTGTGGCTAATGGCTTTGTTAAATCAAATGGATGTGATCTGATGTGTCCTAGTCTTTTTTTATTTTGCTTTTCTTACTCCTTAAAAGATAATGAGCAGTGCAACACAAACAGGACTTTAATCTCGTGCACTTAGTGATGGTAGCTATTGGAGGAAAATGAACAAACATGTGGTGGGCAAAAGACCCCCTCATTATGTATCTTCTTCATATTTAATTCTATTTACGGGACTCGGGTATTATTTGATTGGAAGACTTGAATATAGCGAGCATGTATAATCTAAAAGAATCTTTATGATTATACAGACACGCTTGATAAAGGAAATCTCAGAAGGGGGATGAACCATTCTTTATGTTTCTTCATCAATACATGACTTCACAAGGGTATTATTAGTTAGTAATCTAAAATCTAAAACTATAATAAAAAGATGCTCCCGTGAGAATGATTCTTCATCGTTGTGCCAATATTTTTTGAAGCAAACAAGACCCATTTTAAAACTTTTAAGTGGCCAATCTCTTTGGAAGTCCCCACAACCACAAAAACAAATACGGAGATCTAGAGAGAAACAGAGGTACCTCTCAAGCCTCAAGGTGACCAAATAATTTGAGTTTCCTAGCAATGTTCAACGTGGATGCCTCGAGCCCTGCCAATGCCACAGCTAAATCTATCTCGAAAGATGGAGATACAGTGAGGAAGAAAGAAACAGCAAATTTCATATGATGATATACTCAGAACATCATTTCTGTCATGCCTTTGCCCCTAGTTCTTCTCTCACACTTCCAATACAAACAGACTCTCTCTCTCTCTCTCTCTCTCTGTGCCTGCAAAATTCGAATTTATCTTGAATATTGATTGCTCCACGCAAGCATCATTCTGGTGCGTGACCTTGCGTTTGCAGACTTTTTCATTCACCTTTGCCTTGCAAGAATGCTACCCACAGAATTGAAAATTCCCACCCCGATCATGCCCACTAACAGCCCACCCACTAACGCTAACTCGCTTCACACTCTTTCAGTTTGGCACCACATTCTATGCTCAGATGAGCATCAACGCTCATATTGATCATGTTCTACAAAAAATTTTCACAATAATTTTTTATTTTAATTAATACAAAATTTATAATAAAGATAATCTTACAGAAATTTTTTTAAAAAAATAAATTTATCATAGAACAATTAAATTTATATCATTTAAATTACATTTTTGGTGGTTTAGATTTTTCTACAACCACAAGTACCAAGCACTAAAGGGGTGTTTTTGGTTCATAAAAAACATTTTTTAAAAGTAATTTTACACAAACTAACAAGTGTTGGGGGCAGTGGTTAGCGGCTGACACTCCGAAGGTGAGAATCTGGGAGCACACTTGTAAGTAGAGAGCGGTACCCATCTTGGCACAAAGTGCTATAGAATGCGTTCCACACAACCTCGACTCCGAATTAATCGGTTGCTTGGGTTTACCTGATCCAGTGGAAGGTTAGGGCCCAG